CTATTTCTGTCATTTACAAAAAGAATAATTTTACATACTAATATGTGCTTTTAATATATCTAAATCAATTATCAGTAATAATTGAAAATTTTAATTTTTTAGAAGACTAATCTTATAAACTGTCCAGTTTGTATTGGTTTCCAAATTTTCCGTAACTTATGAATAGTCACAACTGGATGAATCACAAAAGCACATATAAGATATATTTTTGTCTAAATACTATGCTTATGGTATGTTTCTTTCTATCCTGTATGATAGGTACTGTTTAAATTCCTATCACTTCTCAGTTTGACATGCTACCATATTTACAATGGCTCCAAAACTATTTGATAAATAACATTCTTCCCTATCCTAAAATTGCTGATTTTAGACCCTAGCCTTCAGAGCTGTGAGACAATACATTTCTGTTGTTTTAAGTGACCTGTTTTGTGGTATATTGTTATAGCAACCCTACTGTTCATATTGAATTAAACTGTTGTTGCTTCTTAGAGAAGGTAGGTGTAATGTATCTATCCTACTGTTTTGTTTTTTGTTTTACATTTATTTCAGGAATCTGTGTGTACTGAACACCATAAAATAGACCACAGTTGTTGACAAAATAATTCCACTTCTGGAACACTCTCTGTTATGGTTTACCTATGAAGTATCCTCCAGAGAGTCATATATCGAGGGCTTTATCCTCAATGCAGCAATGTTCAGAGATGGAGCTTAGAGAAGTGACTGGATCACGAGGGTGTTAACCTCACCAACAGATTAATCTATTGATGAGTTCAGAGCTGTATGGGCTATTAAAAAGCAGAGCCCAGCTGAAGGAAGTAGGTCACTAGAGACAGTGCCTTTGAAGGGTATATTTTGTCCCTGGCCCCTTTTCTCTTTGCCTCTTTTACCCTTTTATTTCTTAGTCACCACAAGGTGAGCAGCTTTCCTCTGCTATACCCTTCCACCATGATGTTTCTGCCTTGCCACAGGCCTAAAAGCAATGGAACTGGTCAACTATGGACTAAAACCTCTGAAACTGTGAGCCAAAATAAATCTTTCCTCCTTTGAGTAGTTTATTCTAGGTACACTGTCAAGGGGCAGAAAGCTGACTAACATTATCTTATGGAATTAATCCCCAATTTACAAAATGATATGTTTGCAAAAACTATTATTTAGTTTATAATGTGTTGCTAGACTATCCAACAATGGAGTGTTAAGTAAAGCACATTATAATCACTGGACTATTACACAAACAGTAAGTGTTCAAAATTATTTAAGATGAAAAGTGTTTATTTTATATGGAAAACTAAGAACATGAAAACTGTGTACGAAGTATGATGTGAAAAACATGCACAGAAAAGAGAGGCAAAAACAAAAGCAAAATAGTCATTGTGGTGGAATTAGGTTTAATGGACTGGAACTCTCTTCTTGTCTCCCCAGGCTTACCATTTTAGTGCTGCCTTCCAGTTTTCTTTACTCTTCACCTCAAACCTTCGTATGAATAGCCAATTCTTTCTGGGCAATGCCTCTCAAGCTGAGTTCAGGCCCACAATACCTTACACAGGTTTTGTGAAAAGATTCCTATTTGGCCTGACTGAAACCTCATTCAACTATAATATCTACCACAGAACAAAAGTGCTAACTATATCCAGTGTTAACATGTTCGTTTGTGGTTTATGCATTTTATGTGTGTACTATTTTATCAATAAGAAGGTGCTTTTAAAAAATACTAGTTTCTTTTTTGTTAAGATTTTAAGATAAGATTCATAGTTGCCCACTGACTTGGTTCTACTTCATTATACCTCTACAGACAATGTTTAGTCAGGATAACTGAGTACTAGCTGTAGCAGTGCAGTGGGCACAGGCCTTTCCCCCTTCATGGACACTGTCTACAAGCTCCTGTGTCTACTAATGCAAACTCCTTAACATTCTCTAACATCTGGCTTCATTTCCAACATCACGAAACCTTCTCCATCTCTGCTACCTTAATTGTGTCACATCACATTTTACAAATATTTGTTAACTATTAGGTATAACACCTGAAGATGTAATGTCCTAAGTTCTTAATGACCTTTATGTGGAAAGCATTTTCAAAAGAAGATAATCAACAGTAGAAACTGGTATACAGTAAGTGATCAGTGAGGTGAGGAAGAGGGAATCTTCATGGAAAGAGGATTAGCAATGCCTCTCAAGTGTAATTCAGGCCCATAACACCTTACACAGGTTTTGTGAAATGATTCCTATTTGTCCTGACTGCAGCTTCATCCAACTATCATATCTAGTGGGGGCTGAGATTGATGAAGGCTAGACGTGACCACATAAAAGTTGAAAAAAAAGAGATTTCATGTTTAGGAAGGGGTAGCATGAGACACAACAGCTAAGTTCCGCATCTTGGTGACTAGGATAATGGTGAGACCCCTGAGCAATAATCCTGTACAGGAACTATGGGGAGAAACCAAATTCAATTGGAGTATCATAATGTTCACTGAGATGTTATAACAAAACTGAAGAAGACACGTGAGAAGCACTGACTCTTAAGCCACAAAAGTAAAGGTGAGTGAAGTAGCAAAATCCCATAAACCTATGTTTTTAAAAAAGAGAGGGTTGGGGATGGTGCTCAGGAAAAGGGTGCACGTTTAGTGTGCACAAGTCCTTGTGCTGGGTCACCAGAGAGAAACTACCTAGTAGAAAAGTACACAAGAAGGAAGAAAGGGGACCAAAGGTCAAGAGCCTGGTCTATGATGCTCACAACAGTACCAGCGCTTCAGGAAAGTAAGGACCCAGAAAAGAACTCCAGGTGAGGGGGTTTCGCGCAGAAAACAACAGCTTCTGCCCAAGAGCCTGATGCTCAAGCTGAAATCCCTACTGGTGTGTCAGGTGTGGGCCTTCTATGCCTTAGTTTCCTCATTGGTAAAATGAGAATAATATTACCTTCTTCACAGGATTGTCGAAAACTTACCTCGTTAACGCACTTAGATCAGTGCCCTGCCTAGCACATAAGAACTTGACAAATGTCTGCCATAGTATAGGGATGGATTTTATTTAGTTCTCGGTGACCTTGGGCAAACCAATTTCTGTAGGCAATTAATGAGCAAAGTGCAGTAAGAAGGCAGTGACTGACACAAAGTATCGAGGACAAGGGCGCTTAAGCAATAAAGACAGAGTGGGAAAAAGGGGGTAGGGTTAAGTGAAAAAGCTGAGAGTCTGTCTCAGCAAGAGCGGGTAAAAACCCATAGGGAGGAACTCGGGTGCTAACACTATTTTCCGACGCATCGGGACGCTTCGCCTACCCTCACAGGGAGCTGGGCCGGGTAGAGCGCAGGTCCTTCCTGTCCCCAGTTCCCTCGGGAGCTCACTGAGCGCTCCCTGCGCATCCGGTAAGTTTGAATCAGCGCTGGCTGATGACAGAAGGGCCCATTTCCCAACGAGCGACACCTTGGAGATAAAATGAAAGGCTTCCGTCTTCCATCTCTGGAACGACCTGTTCCACAGCTCTGTACTCGTCCTCCCTCCCAGGCCAGCGGCAGCCACCGGGCTAAGATGCTGCTCCGGGAGCCAAAGCGACAGCGCCCCAGTTCACCCCGATCGCGAGAACACAAAAGCGCCCAGGGGAGGAGGGCTGCGGAAAGAGGGGCTCGGGACGCCTTGGGCGGCAGGCGAGGCCAGGTCCCCGGCGCAGGGCGACCCGCGGCCAAGGTCGCCAGGTCCTCCGCCCCTGTCCCGCCTCCGCCTCCTTCCCCGGCCCCGCTGCCCCGACCCCTGCGTAGCGCGGGCCGCGACCTCCCCAGTGGGATGCTGACGCGGTGGGAACACTGGGAGCAGGGTGTGGGCCCCGGACTCCCGCGGAGCCCCCAAGTCCGAGCGGGCCTGGCCGGACTGTCTGGGGCCCCTGCGCTCGGCTCCCGCCCCGCCTCTCCCCACTGCACAAAGTTCGAACCGGCCCGGCCCGGCCCGCGGGTCCCGCGCCTGCACTCACCGCGCCGGGAGCGGAGCTCTCACAGCGGCGCCTGCCGCCCGCACCGCCGACCAGACTGTGAAAGGGCGCGGGCGGGGAGCGGGTGCCACCTGCGGGATCGCCCACCCCGCCGCGTCACGCAGGGCGGCGCCGTCCCCGGTTCGCCCGCCCGCAGCCTCTTCCGCCAGGTGCCCGCCGCCGGCGCCCCAGGTGCGGGCCGGGGAGCGGGGGGCGGAGCCGAGCGCGCGCCCGCGCCGGGCCCCGCGCCCCAGCGCGCTCGGGCGGCCGGCTAGGGCGGCCGTCCTCCTCCTTAAGTTTCTTTCTGAGCACAAATGCTTTCTCTGCGGGTCCTCTTAAAGATTTCCTTTAAATAGAATGAGAACGGTGGTCCGGCATAACTCAGTTGGGAATGGGTTCTAGGAAAATGAAAAGAGGAACACCGGCTGTGGGGAAGCTGGGAAGCGGAGAAGAGAAAAGGGGAGTCCTGCTCCCGAAAGACAATTCGGGGAGTTGGTTCACGTCTGAAACCGAGGCTGCACCGACCCAAGGACGTCCTCAGGGAACGATCTCGATTTAGAGCAGCACTGTCCTGAGGGATTATTAAGAAATTGATGAAATGTTGCAGATATTTGGGGAACAGACTTTTAGAGCAATGACGAGCAGATTGTATATAATATTAATGGACCATTTTCCTGTTATCATCAACAGCAAACGCAGTTGTTGAGGGGAACGAAGTCTAACACACTCATTTCTCCTTATCTTCTCTTGGGCTGGGAGGCAGACTGGGAGGCGGACTGGGGGATCAGTGTTAGGCCTGAGCCTTGGGTCTGATATTTGCTGCTGTTACAATTTGGAAGCGTAGCGTCAAGACAAGGGGCATGCTTACAAGGCAAAACCAGGCGCTAGAATCAGACTGACTTCTAGAACCTCCTCCCCCCAGTAATAGCCTGGGAAGTTGCATTTCTGACCCAGGCATCTCACAAATGTGGATTGTGTTCTTGTGCTGTGAGTACTTAACATGGAATCAGGCTAAAGGTCAAGACAACTGGGGAGTCCAGGTGGAGAGAAGAACAATCAGTGGGCCAGAAGCATGAATAAGTTATCTTGCTGTGGCTTTATCCTAGTACATTGAGCAGGAGGTTTTAATGCTTTATGTAAAACCCACTTATGCCATTGAGAAGAAAACCAAAAACATGAAAGCTCAAACTTAAGAGAATCTTGGAGTCAAAGAAACTGAAGATTTCTCCATTTTAGATCAAGTTTCTTGCATATTATAAACAGATTATAGGCCTGGGATTTAGCTCAGTGGCACCTGCACCTGCCTTGTAAGGGCAAAATCCTGAGTTTCATCTCCGGTACCAAAACAAACAAACAAACAAACAAAAATAAACAGATTATTTAGTAGATTGGAAAATCTTTTGGGAATTAGAAATGATTGCTTAATGACAGTTACCTCTGAGTCTGTTGGTATATCTATATGAAATTTCAAATACACAGAAGGTCAAATAGATTCATTTTTAAAGGAATATTTGAATGCCACTGCATGCTACCAGATTGACCTGAAGATTCAACAGATGGCAAAACAAAAATATATTCCCTGTTCTCAGGGACTGTACATTCATTCTAGTTGGGGATTACAATTAATGGAATTATGAATAAATAACTAAAATATGTACAAGGGAGGGAGAAGAAAAAAGGGGAGAGACTAGAGGGTCTTTTGGAGATGCAGTGGTACAGAGATTAGAAAAGGCCTCAAAGAAAGGGGCTATTTGAGTGGAGATTTTAAAGTGATGCGGTGGCCAGCCATGTCTCCAGGTAACCACTCTCAATCAATGGCAACAGCAGTCAATGAGAACAAGCCTGGCTGGAATGTTAAAATTAATAAAATAGCAGGAAGGTCAGAGTGGTTGAACTGGAGTGAGTAGGGATAGTAACAATAAACAAGGTCAAAACCTTTAGAAGCAGTTTGAGTAAAGAACTGACACCATATGGCTGACATTGGAAAGGAAGTATTCAGGCAACATGTTTTGAGCACAGAGTATGGGGTGATGAGACTAAGAGCTGAAGCAAGAAGATATTAGGAGGCTCTTACACAATCCAGATGAAAGATAAGGTGGCTTGCACTAGGTTGGTAGTAATGAAAGGGCCAGATTTTAAAGACACTCTGAAGGTATCAAGGGAGTTTCTCAAAGATGTGGTGGGAGGTGAGAGGGGTTTTTTTTGTTCTTTAAGTCAAGAACGACACCAGGACATTTGTCTTACACTAAGGTAAGGTGAAACTGACCACTTAATAAGAGGAAGACTGTGGGGAGAAAATCTGGAAAGGTGTAGGAGTAGTTTGGGAAATATTTAATTTGAGATTCCTATTAGATATCCAAATGGGCATGTCAAGTAGGCAGTTTGTTTTATCACTCTGGAGTTCAAGAAAGGCCTAGGCTTATAGATCGTATTTAAAGATATGAAAGTGTCTAAGGGCACCAAGAGTAAGAAAAGAGAAGAGATCTGAAAATTGGTCCTGGAAGACTTCAGGTCATAAATGGTCAGGGGAATGAGGAACAGTGGGGGAGGGATGTGTTCTGGAAGGCAGGTGTGTTAGGTATTGCAGCAATAATGCCTTATATCTTCACTTTACATCTCAATAGCTTTTGGCCATTTATTTGTTTTCATGCCCACAGGTGTGTGGGTTGGTTTCATTCAGCTGTCCTAGGCTGTGCCTAACTGAGTAGCTCAGCTCTATGTTGAGGGTTGAGGTTAAATCTTCAATGTGTGTTTCTCCTGGAGCCCAGCTAGTTTGGAGATCTTTTTTATGATCACTGAGATGCAAAAGCCAATCCAAAGCCCATGAGCAGGTTGAAGGCCTCACATCATGTTGGCTAATACTACATAGGCTTAAGTATGTCACATAGCCACATCCAGTGTCAAAATAGTAGGGAAACATTCATCCCATAGTGAAGAAAATCAGCAGTTCTATTTACTGAACAGTAATTCAGACTCTTATCACAGCAAGAGAAAAAATGTTTAAAGGTGTAGGAGCTAATTACTTAGCAACTATGTCAAAAATTGAGTATCAGAAGGGCTGGGAATTTACTGCTCATTGGCACCGCACCTGTCCTGCAAGGGCAAGGTCCTGAGTTTGATCGCTAGTACCGGAAAAAACAAAAACAACAAAAAAGCTGAGGTTTAGAAAGTGATCATTGATTTAACAATATGGAACTCATTGATTGATCTTGGGTTTTGGTTTGAGCACTTTTGGAGAAATGGAAGGAGTAGGAGAGAAATTGAAGACCAGAAGCTTAGGCAAATTTTTCAAGAATTCTTGTGGTAAAAAGGAGCAAAGAAATGAGGTAATGGCAGAAGGAGGAAATAAGGTCTAGAGAGGTTTTTTTTTGTTTTTTTTTTTAACAATATGACATTTATAATAGGTTTATTATATTTTGGAAAAAAATTATTAGAGAAAGAAAACCTTATGGTGATGGGAGAAAGACAACTGTTGTAGTGATGCCTTTGAGAGACACAAAAAGTTGGTACCAGTGACCTTTTAAGGTTAATAATGCCTCCAAGGGCATCTGGGTAAAAGAATGACATTATCTAATGTCTACTCAAATATTAATATTGTTCCAAATTTGGCTTATTTTTTAAGACATATGATAGCTTAAGCTCCAACCTGCTCTAATCTCTTTTATTCCCTCAAAAGTATCCTGAAGTAGCTATGTGTCATTTCCATGTATGTTTTTATACTTTCATTACATATATATCGATCTGAATTTGCACTCTAATTTTGTATATGGTTCCATTTTATGTAACTAGTATTATACTTAATGTATTCTTATGTAAGTTTATTCTTCAGTTTTTAAGATTATTCATCTTGATACATGTAGTTCTTTTTCATTCAATTATATATAGCATTATATTGTACAACTAAACCATTTATCCTATTGCTCCCTAATGAATAGAAAAGGGTCATTTCCAAATGTTTTCTTTTTTGAGACAATAAATATAGAAATAAATATTTTCTTGTATCCATGCAGACAAAAATTTCTAGGATTTGTACTTACAAATGCTCTTCATGAAATATATTGTTCTTTCTCGAGGGTATGTGTTATTTTCTGGCTGCCGTGTATCTGCACCTTCTTCATATATATATGTTTTTTTTTATCCTGGAGATTGAACTCCGGGCCTTGCCCTGGGGTGGCAGAACCACTGCGCTAAATCCCTGGCCACCCTTCTTCCTATATTTGAAGACATTCTCATGTATGAAACAGTGAGTGACCAAGTTTACCTCCCATGAAAGAAGCTAGCTGCATATGCACAGCATTTACTTTGCCAGCCCTTTGGGCCACTGGAGAACACAGTCATGACTGAGACTTGCCCAAGCAGATATCACCTACTTATTGTCCCCACACAGGATTCTGAAGTTGAAACTAGTGACACAAAGGAGCTGTGTCTGCCAGTGAGGGAGCTGGCTCCTCTGTCTGGTTCAGTGGCATAAAGTTAGCTCTGGTTTGTCAGCATAGACTCTTTGCTCCTACTTTTACAGAGCTGTTGCCCAGACTTTGTGGAGATTCTGTAATCTTCTTCATACTTTTTGTAAGTTCCTTTTCTGTTTAAAAAAGCCAGAGTTAGTTTCTATGGCTTGTGATTGAGAACCTTGTCTTAGCTCAGTCTGCTATAACGAAATACCATACTGGGTGGCTTAAAAAACATATTTTCTTACAGTTCTGGAGGCTGGAAGTCCAAGGACTGGGTGCATGTATATGACTGGGTTCTAGTTAGGGCCCTTTTCTCAATGTGTGCTCTCATGGTTTTTCCTTCCTCTTCTTATGAGTGTATATATGGTGGGGGTGGGGGTGGGGAGTGTCCTTATGCTCATGAGTTCATCTAAACTTAATTACTTCCTAAAAGGCCAACATCCAAATATCATCACATTTGGGGACGGGGATTCATACATGAATTTGGGAAGGACATTAACATTCAGTCCATAGCACTGACTGCCTTACTTTCCTAAATAATACCAATTTACACTTTCACTACAATATACATACAATAATTACTCCTCTAAATCCTTGCCAACATTTAGTGTTTTCAGACTATATGCATGGATATATATATT